GCAGATCATGAGATCAGCATAAAAACCTTTGCCATTCCTCCTGCCATGCGAGGTCTCCTGGGTGCAGGTAGTGATGGATCTATAAGTTTTTCCATCCCTGGGTCCCTTTTGTTCAATGGCAGACACACCTCTAAGGCTGGGGGAGAGCTGCTTTATAATCAGCCATTTCTGGGACAATCTGTAAGTAGAAGAAATGTGGTGCAGCAAAGGCATTTATTGAGTACACTCTCTAGATTGATGAAGGGTGTATGAATTGTGGTATTACTAAATATTCTTCTTATCTAGATCTTTTCCTTGCGTTCCAGTTTCGTTATGGGAAGCAATGTCCCTGCTCTCTCCGCTCCCCTGTTTCATGTATGTTCCTACTGAGAAGATCCTGATTCTGAATTAGAAGGAGGGGAAGTTTTTAAAGAGTTGTGGTGATCTCTGAGTAAAAATTAGAAATCAGAGTTCTTGATGCATGTTCTCTTCTCTGACTGAGTATAGCGGATGTCTCACACTAGATGAGAAGAGGCAGAAAAAATACCGCTTTCTTCCTTGCTTTCCTCCTTTAGCTTTCCACAGATGTCATTCATGTCAAAACTGGTACGCTTGCTCCCACAGAGAAGTTTGTGGTAAGAAAACTGGAATTTTGCTACAAAAGGCTTTTCTGTTTCTTCTACTTATATATTACTTTGGTAAATTTATAAAAGCAATGCTCAAATGCATTATCAATTATATAAACAGATAAGACCAATGTTCAGATGCATTGTCATACAATTCTATAGATTTTCCAAAGAATAGTATTTTTAATGCAATCAAAATGCTACAAGTATGGTAAGTTGGGTTCTCATTCTTAATTCCGAGATTCGAACTACGTATGGAGATAATATAATTCAAAGCTCCAGGAGTGGAAACTCCCTAGAGGAGCTAGAAGATATGAAAGTAGACCAACATTTTCTGGCATATTCGTCTTACAGTTAAGTCTGGCTATCGATTTCAATGTCACCATTGTTTACGGCCACACTATTACATTTTAAATTCCTATCCCCAGTTTTCAAAATCACTGATTCTACTTGTCCTTAATCGGCTTCTTTGCATAATGTTTTCATCTTCTTAATCATTTCTCCTTTTTCTGCTTCTTTTGGGTATTTTGACATGTGAACACTATTTCCACACCCACTCCCCTCCCCCATTTGGAAAAATGGCTTGGATGCCAGAAAAAGATTGGCTTTTCTTTCCAGAAGTGATTGTTTCTTTTTCCTCTATTTTCCTTTTTTTTTTTTTTTTAATGTTGTTTTCCTGAGTAGGTAGTTTTAAAATGTTGGCTGCACATTGCTCTCACCACAATAGCTGTCTAAGCTTCCTAAACAGATGTCTGATGACTGCACAGCAATGCCAAGTCTCAGACAAGTGCTTTTGGCATGATCATGCTCATATATTGACTCTAACAGGACAAAACCAACCAATTTTAAGTCTTGGCACAGGCTGAGAGATTATAGCTGTCAATTTATAACTGACACAGTTATAAAAACTCCATGAAGAATAATATGTTTACAAATAGCTTGCTTGGAATGGGAGTGAAATCTGATTTTTTCTTGAGCCATTTACACAGGTGCAGCAGTACCACCCAGAGGCCACTGCTGTGCTGGGTGCTGCACAAACAAGGAGTTTGTTCCTGTCCAAAAGAGCTCAGATACTGGAAAGGCAAATAAGATAGTAAAGCTTAGAAGTGATCATATGAAAACATTTCTAGTAATCTCGGATGAAAACCCCAAAACTTCCACTCTCTCAGCATCCTACACCATCTAAATCTGAGTGCAGACAACTCCTCTAACGTTGCTAGAAAGGAGCACAACATTAACAGAGATAAACAGAGGATCATTCAGACTGCTTTTAATTATGAATTAGGCTACTTAGATGAGATGGAGAAATTCCAGGATCTGGTCTCTGCTCTCAGGACTGTCTCTACATTTTCTGTTCAGCAGTGATTCCTGAGGGGTCAGTAGGCACCTAGTGATTGTGTACGCAATGCAGCTATCCTGCAGGCCATGGGCCATAAGGATCCACCCTCTACCCATATCAGGGAACATGGCAACAACACCTGGTTTATTCCATACACTAGCCTGTTCCACTGTGTTACATGACTTGGTTAAAATAGAGGTAAGATGGGGGAGAAATAGAACTTGACCCTCCCACTTTCTGGGCCAGTGATCTGCTCAAAGAGGAGAACAGCACCCCCCTGATTTTAAAAAGCAGTAATTATCAGGAGATTTTTGTGGAGGTTGGATCTCAGCACAGTGTGCCAAACACGTTTTGAGAATATCTGCAGGCTATTCTCCCTGAAATGCAAGGTATGTTTCTAAGTCCCAGTTTTACTGATGCAGGAGATGAGAGCTGCATTGCTTAAATCAGGCAAAACAGAAAACAGGACAGTAGGCCTTTGAAGTAAAAGAAGGAAAAATGGGTTTAAGACCTCAGTGTTTCTGCATCCGTTAAGAAGCTAAACAGCTATTTTGGTCAACAGTTTCAGACTTGGGCACTACCTGAGTATCAAAACTACCTGAGTATTAAGTGTCTTTATCCTTTGTCTTTATGGAATGAAGGATGTCTCTACTGTTACACTGCTTGAAGAAAAATGAGGTGGTTTGGTGCAGCAGATGGAAAAAAAGGAAGCTACATTTCTCCCTTGCAGTTTGACACCAACCTGACTGGAAGTTAAAAACACCTCTCAGTGTAACAGAGTAGCTACAATGAGCAACATGCAAGTATGATCAGAAAGCAAAACCAACCAGGAAAGTGGATACTTTTCATCCTAAACAACAGGATTATGTTAAAGTGTCAAGGAAAGCAACTGGAGTAGCAGAGTTCTGAGTAAGTAAACTGAACGCATGAAACAACCCCAACACAACACACATCTCCATAGCAAGGAGTGGGGAATAGAGCTGACCTCTGGATAAAAGCAAGGCCTCTTTGATGCTGACCAGCTCTTTACAAGCATAGCTAAGGGGGCTCTACAAAGTAACAAAGAACATGTCTTGTCAAACTCAGAGAGATGCTTAAGAGGAAAAGGATGTAAGTATCAGTAGCTTTGAAGTAATCTACATATTTAAATACATCAATATATATTACATGCATTATTTCACTCCTTTCCTCTTATTGCTTGATTCTGCCCCCTGTAGAGCTATGCCCCAGCTTCATAAGATAAAGTATCCATTACACACTGAAAAAATGGGCCTGATGAATCAAAACCCCCACATAATTTAGTACATCATCTCTCAATAGAGCTTTTCAGTCTAATTTAATGCATTATTGAAGATAACACGTTCATTAAAACAGCTGCCAGCAAACTGTTCATTTGGATTGTTTCATGGAAGCACTAGTCAAAGAGAAATAAAACACCACATGCTAATGATATGCAAAAAGGAAAAAAAACAATTCAGTTTTGATACATTGGTATTGAGATGTTAATATGATTTTTTTTAATGACTACTGCCATGCTGGCTTTTATATGGTAAATATGAAGCATCACAAACCCGGTGTTTCTTTTCAGCAAACTTACAACATATAATAAAAAATAACAAAAAACCACATGGCAAAATTACCAGGGTTGTTCAGCAAGTATGAATTAACAAGCATGGAATTATTATTTATTGTTTCTTATTGCAGCTTCTCTCTCTGTAAGCATTTAAGTAGCAGATTTTTGGATACAGACTTTGCTCCTGGTCTCTAATGGAATGAACTGAAATCTCTAATCCTCTCAAATGCTAGGAAGTCCTGGATTCTAATGATCTGGCTCAAATGAACATCTAACATCTTTCACTGTAACAGCCTTAGCAATAAATATTGGCCTCTGAACAAGGCCAAATCTCTGACCCCAACATTAAAATTTCACCACTACTTTTCTCCACCTGTTTTGCAAGTCTCATTGTTTCCTGGTGAAGCACAGGGTAATAACAAGTATAGTTTAATTAGAATATGCCATCAGCAAGAGACACACCAGAAAAAAAATTTCTATAACAGGTTTATTAAAGCTACTGCCATTAATTAATAAGAAATTTTAATAAAATTAACAAAACAAACTATCTACTGTTTCATGGGTCCTTTACGTATCAGTCTGAACATCCTTCAAGCCAGGCAAGACAGATTACATCATTATTCAGCTGCAGACCCAATTGTATAAATTACACAGACATCCATACCTCCTGTCTCCACTACTGAATGTGCAGATGAGGAGAGAAATTTTGTCTGGGGCAGCCATTCAGCAGACTAATATTAATCTATGGCTTTGGCACTTTTTGCCCTTCTAAGCTTTTGCTAAGGTCCAGCAGCCTCCGAGCGCTCTAGGTCTGTAATGGTCATATCCAGTAAGTCCTTTTAAGTTGAGATGTAGGTGGTGAAAGTCAGTTCTGAATAACCATGATCTGGAACATCTCATGGCAGAGACTAGTAGTTGACACCTTTGTTTGTCTAGCAAATGACTGAATTATTTATTATTTTAAACAAATAGGCAGGTAATTATTGAGTGTTGCAGAAACATTATAACAAAGGATGAGCTCTTTTTCCAGTTTCTATACCTTAACGAACATATTCTCTTCAAAAGGAAAAAACCCAGTGCTTTCACTGTAGTCTCAAAGGAAGGAGTTTATCTGGCCTAATGTAAATGTCTAGAAATTTGAGCTATTCACTCCAGGTTCCGTTGCAAACCATGGAAAGTAAAACATACATTCAGAGCATGGTTAACATCATGGTATACTAGATGTTTGCAATCTGACCAATTGAATCACTTCCTAAAAATGTCTACTTCTCTATATGAGTATAAAGACAGAATAGAACAAGTAACTTCAATGTCTGCAGTATAGATGTTTAAATTTAAGTGAGATGAATCCATCCAAGGTGTTTAGGTATTGCGCTTAATAAGGTAGGAAAGATAAATACAACATAGTGGCATGCAAAGTATGTATTTCATAATTTCATGGCAGCTACTGAGTGTGCACTTCTTAAAAAAAAAAAAAAAAAGGGTATACAATAGTTACCAGAATTACACACAGGGGGGTGGGATACTTCTAATTGAAACCCTCTAGCATTTTTTGTCTGGAATTCCTCTCCAGTAACAGAGATGCATTTTCCAAAGATGATTCGTTCCATTGTAAAGTTATCATTTAAGTTAGTTGGGAATAATCTTCCTCTGCAGACTGATGTCTCTCCTGAAAGGCACAGAGTGAACCCACCTCACTCTGTGTTAAAACAGTAGTTTAAACTGAATAGCTGACTTCTAAATGATTAATCTTTGATGGGATTAATCCTATACATGCTATATAAAGGTAACAGGTCTTTGAGGAGATGTGTTTTCAGTAAAAAGAATACAGCCCCTTCAAAACGTATGTGTAGGTATATCCTGCCATTCAGAAAATTTTAATAAATTATTATTAGTTTTCCATGTAGTTTCACAAATCTGATAAATATATTGAACAGTATCTTGTTTTGCTTCCTGGAATGTATGTATTAAAAAAACCACCTAAATTCTCAAGCACTTGATTCCTTTGGGAACCATGCAGTGGGACTGCATTTAAAGTATTTGTTCCTAGCAGTAAAAAATAATCATTTTCCATAGTGGTTTGAATTAACAGGGCAATACACTTAACTAAACACTAGTGGAACTTCTTTATCACGCTGTATGTCAAATTAGTAAATCCACTTTTCTGCAAAAGAGAAAAGATTGATCAGAAATGCCAGCAAATCAGTATTCTCTAAGTGTCACACGAGGAAACTTTTAGATCAATTCATTTATTTTTTATTTATAAAATCTACTGAAGTCCCACCTTGTCATTTCTGAAATGGGGTATGTCACTTTAAAATGCTTAACATGCAGATACTTGGTCTGTCTGTCTACAGTTTAATAACTGTCAAAATGCCTTATTAATTTTATAATTGAATAAATTGCAAAATTCACTCTTCCCATCAAATTTTGCAATGACATAGTAACACAAAGTATTTTAACAAAACAAATTAATATAATTTTAGTTAGTACGATCATATCTCAGAAGTACATTGGTGAACACCACCTTATCGAACATTTCATCTACATTTTCATTTGTCTTTATTTGGTACAGAGGTACTGATTTTTAGTGTTATGAATTAATAAATGCCATGAACAGAGAAGACTTAAAAGCTAGCAACTTCTAGAATAATTCATAAAACAAAAGCTTCATTCTTCAGTGCCTTGCACATTTGTTTACTCACTATGCTCCTCACAAAAGTAAGAATGGTCCTCACAGTAGATTATTTTCATTATGATTTAATAGATTTTGTATCTTCTCTTTGTTGTTCACAATGACTACATTAGGTGAAAATACCTCTGAACCCTGGTTTATTTGTTTCAGTAGAACAATCTGGTTCTCAGGTGGCCTTGCAATTTATTCTTGTCACTTCCTGGGTAAGATGCCATTGACTCACTGCAGGTGTCTCCATTGACAGCAGAGGCAGGACTCTACAGATTTCAATGAGACCTTAAGAGATCTTCCTCACAAGTACCGAATAACTATTATGTCTAGATCCTGGGGTTGGATATCATCCTAACTCAGTCTTACTGAATGAAATACTTTGAAAAGGTTTAAGTGAACAGAAATGAGCAAAAGCAACAGTTGTGTGGTAATATATTGAAGTTATTTGAATGAATTTCTCTACACTCTTGTTCTATGTTCAGTATAATGCATCTTGCATCTTACCTTTAACTTTGGAATAGCAAGGCTCACAATGCACAGTTTGTCTGTAAATCCAAATGCTGTCTCCTGCTCTCAGATCTTCCAGTGGTCTTTTACATACTTCACACTTTGACACACAAGTAAAAGTAACAAGAAAAATTAAAATGAAACCTTCTCTAATATTTGTTCCCTGGATGCTATCTTTTAGGAAGTAAGCAACCACAGACCAGAATAAGGGTTATGAGTACTGCATTATCAGCTAATCTGAACTCTGAAAGAGCAGTTTTAACAGTCAATTATACATCTGAATATCTCACCTTTAGACATCTAAAAATCAGAAACCTAAGTCTCAACTGGTTCCCTAGGTTCTCATTATACTCACCAACTCATTCCTTCCCCCAGACATTTCCACGTATACTCTTTCTGTCTTAGTTTAGAGATTTATTATAAAATAAGATGAATCACCCTTTTGAGATCCTTTTGTTTGTTCACTGAGTAGAGGAAGCATGATCAGACTTAATCCAACTCAGAGTAGATCTTAGAGAACCTAAACCTTTAAAAATGTTTTATACTGTATCTTAATCATTAACTGTCTCCCCCATTATTGCAGAATCTGGGCACTGCTTTCACAAATGTCTCACAAAGATAATTTTTGAGATAGAGAAGCATTGCCTATGTTTCACATATGAAAATACACAGATATGCACAGAGGTTGACTTCCCAAGATCACAAGGAAAGCCTACAGTGGACCAAGGAGCAAAGTAATTTGATCTATAAACAAGAATCTTAACACCATCCATTTTTTGCAATCTAATGAAAGAATAACAAATTCAGGGTGGGTTTTTTTTTTGATTTTTTTTATCCTCTGATAAGTGAAAACCAGAGTCTTCCCATGATTTTCATGATGGCTGTCTATTCAGATAAATTTGGACTAAAAATCTTTATTAAAATTAAAAATTAAAAACCTTACCCAGAACATCCTTTAGCAGGTAAACAAATAAAGAAACCGCATGATGTCAACACCATGGACTTAAAGACAGTGGGATTAGATCAAGGATCCAGACAATATGCAATTGCCTTAGATTACACATGCTCACTAGGGCTAGTATGAAATTTCAACTGAGCACTCCACATTGATTAGCATAACATATGAGAATACTAAGCAACTTTTTTTTTTTTATGTTTTACCATATTGCTTTTTTCTATATTTTTTCTACACAAGCTGTTAATATTAAGGTACTATTAAAATAGTCTGCTACCTTCACTAGTTTTATGTTTCCTCGTATAAATCAGCAAAAGGATGATCATGTTTTCAAAGCATTGACCACTAAGACTAAGTAGCATTTTTATACAGAAAAAAACTACAATCTGGACTATTTACTCACTGAACTTCAAGGCCAGATTGGACAGAGTCTTGAGCAACCTATTCTAGTGGGAGGTGTCTCTGGCCAAGGCAGGGGGCTGGAACTAGGTAATCTTAAGGTGCTTCCCTACCCTAACCATTCTATGATTCTATAATTACCTTTACAAGGAAACAAAGACCTCATGCTGCTGCCAGCTACATGGAAATCTCTAATGGATACAAGGTATTTGTAAAGAGCTAAATGAATATTAACGATAGGAAATTGCACTACTTAGTTAAATACATAACTACAAGCATGAACCACAGACCTACATTAGCTGTTTAATTTTTTTACCAGTGCTTTCATAAATGTGTAGTTACACAAAATTAAGCTGAATTTTGCTGACCAGAAATGTCCCCACTTGAGAACAGGTAGCAAAAGGATATAATTTAAAAGTTAATATTAAATATTTAACAGATAATTTGGCCAATACTAGTGTAGGATGTTAGCACTCCTAACTGTGTCAAAAGCCTATTCCTCTTTATGTGGGTTAATCTATCCAAAAAGAATAGAAGCAAATCAGAGCTTGTATTTACTTGCAGTAGGAGTATGGAGGAGGTATTACATAGTGATTTACATGGAAGAAATTGCATTTCTACTGCTCAAAGGGCTTAGAAAGTCCATATGAGACAAAAAGCATATGTAACTTCATACATGTTAAGTATAGCCTTACTGCTGTATTCTGCTTTGAGTTACTTTTCGTGCAATAATTAGGTAGAAGACCTGCTGTCAGAAGCAGAAGTATATGCAAGCTGGACAGAAAAATAAGCTATGCTAATGTGTGATTTTGAGAGTATTGTTTGTTACAACAACAAACTCTGTGCTGAGATGCAAGCAGAATTAAGACAAATGAAGCAGAAGGAAAATGGACTAGAGGGCTGAGCACTGATAGGCTTACCCTGCAAAAAGTTTAAGAGTGACTTTTAGGCTGAGACTTAGGCTTTGGAATGACAAGCAAATTTTTTTCTGTGCTTTCATTTTTACTGGAAATGGGAAAAAAAAAAATGAAACCAAACATGATTTGTAATAGAACGAGAAAGACATATCCATTTTCATCAGTATTTTATCCTACAGCAGAAACTATCTGTAAGACCCAAATTTCAACCAAATATTTGATCCCAGTGGGTAAAATGATTTTACCTCTGGCTTAAATACCTTTTACTGATGCCTTTGAGTGTGGCTTCTGCACAAGCCATAGTTGTCCTTAATCAAGGACATCTACAAAGCTTCACAAAAAGAGAAATAGAATAAAATTTTACGATATGAAGAAAGTGTAAATAGTATATAATTAATCAAATAGAAGCCTGTGCAGCTGAAGCCTTATAAATGTGTAGGACATTCAGGGTACATTACATTGCACCCTTTATCCCCCTTGTGGTTGCAAGAAAGAAGTATAGACAGGGAGAGGGAAAGTAGAGTTGAGAGATGAAAAAAAAGAGGAAGGGATTGTGTAGAGTAAGAGAGACTAGTATTTCCTACATTAATCTTCATCTCCAGGGTGCAAGAGTTCCTCTTCTCCCAGGTGGAGAAGGCCTAAGGACTAAATATTCTCCTATTATCTCTGTACTATAATGCAGGTATTACATTCAAATTATATTTCTTAGTAGCAGGTGAAATCCTCTTACCTTGAAGCAAGTTGAATGACAGCAAATTTGCAAGGCATCTAAGATCATTTTGGCATCTATGCCCAAGGGCTTCCTGCAGTATGTACATATATCTTTTCCAATTATACTCCTGTGTATATAATACAACATCAGCTGTCAGAAAAAAACCTACCATTGAAATCTCGAGGAGAAAATTGATAAGCTTAGGGCACTAGGTGCGAAAGACATTTGTATACTGTACAATGGCCATAAATGGAAAAACATCATGTGTATGTTCCTTTCATTCTAGTTGACAGCTGTAATATACATGCTCCTGTGATGAGCAAAATGCTGAGCGTAATAGTCAACTAGCAAAAATACCTTGCTAGAAAGAATGGTCTTTGGTGAACTGAATGATTTCAAACAATAATGAGACTGTATTAAGCTGCTGAATGTCTGGGAGCATGTATACTAAATGGGGATGAAGTGAAGGATAATGATTTTAACATTTTAATCACAAAAGAAAATTGGTAGTTGAATTTGAACTGCTGTCATTTGATCAGTTTGATAAAGAACTCTCTTCTATGTTGTGGAAGAGCCTGAAAACATAGGCAGAAATCCTACCTTCATTGCAGTTATAGTGAACACATGCATAGAACAGCCTACCTGCTATTCATAACAATCATATTTTAAAAAATTTTCTCACCTCTTTTTGCATTCTTATGTGGCATCAATATGTACTTTCCCTAGATACAACTTTTGGTGTGTCTAGTATCAACTGGTTTTGCTCCTTTTCATTCAATAGTAAACCACTGTACTAATATTTAATCATGCCCAGAATCTTTTATACTTACTTTGGAAAAGAAAAAAGAAAAAATCTTTATTTCCAAGTAGTGGGACTGTGCAGGTTCTCTGAACTGAAAATAGTGACCACATTTATTTTATTATTCTTTTTAAGATATTACTGATGAGCAAATATCCTTCTTATGTTTGGGACTATTTTAGCTGGTGTGAAAACACAGAGTTTTTAACAGCATTGTCATGTGAAGCTGTTCTTCCACATCTGTACATAGAGTTGGTCATTACAGACGCCATCCCCAAAAAGGAAGGAAATTTTGCAGGATAAGAAGCTCCCCAAGGTAGAAACCTACAGAATCACAAAGCCAACTCTGTCACTTAAGGCACTGGCTATTGTTTCTATAGATATTTTAAAATGTCAGCTGTGACAAGGCTAACATAACATTAGGCTGATGAACCGTGGTAATGATTTGACGGCATGACCCCACTGAAAGGGAGCTCCATATGAAAAGCTGTCTGACAAGCCTAATGGGGACTTCCACTGCTCTCTTTTGTCTGAATACTTGAATGCTTATGCAAAATGTCTGTGTCCTTTGGTATTCTACAATGTTATTAATGTGTACTTACCGATCAGAAGTAGAGTAAACAGTTTTGATAGTATTTCCAGTTATATTTTTGTCATAGGTACCATATGATGATTTGCTGTGAATCAGTAGAAGAATAGCAATTACGAAACAGTACTTTTTATTTTTAAAGGTTTCACTACACTGATGATAATATGCAAATAAAACTGATGTGAAATGCTTGTAAAAAAAAATCATCATACTTGGTGATGTATTATCTTCTTCACAGCCATCAAGAAAAATATATAAAATTAAAACAAACAAACAAACACAAATTAGAAATATAGTGTCCTTAGACCATGTTCTGTTGCTGAATGATTCTTCAGCATTTCAAAATTCAATCCATAATTCCACTGAGCAAAATCTACATGATATGATTGGGTTTGCCTGTGCTGAGATCCCAGCCTAAATGATACATTTCAGGAAATGGTGACACACTGCTTTTTATCCCTTTTCCCCCTCTTCTTTCACTAGTCCTCAAAGAGGTGCCAAACAGCCAAACAAAAGTACAATACCCCCCTCGAAGTAGAGTCAGGGTCTTTGTAATACAGGCTGTTCAATTTGAGATTTGTGCTCACTACAGTAACAGTATTGTTCCTTATATCAGAGTACAAAGGAATATACTGAATTTAACTATCAGGGAAGCTAAATATTCTTTTGTAACTGTCCCAGTTCTAGTTGCTTAACTGTCAGTTTTGTTTGCATGGAAGGGATGGGCATTTATGTGACAGCTGAAGAAGTCATCTTGCCATACATGTTTTGAACATTTCTGAACTGGTTTAATTATCCTATTCCTCCAGAAATTCATAAGGTATATGGTAATTATTATGTTTCATATCACTCTTGAATAATGTTTAGCAATGCTAGGAACCATTCTTTATAATCACGTGCATTCGTAGAATGTATCTTTTTCAGGGAAAGTGTAACAGACAAATGGGATTATATCTTTAAATAGTCCTGTTTATATTAACACTTAATTAATCCACATATATGGCTGGGTTGGTACCAAAGGGCGGTTTTTCTAATCGAAGAAGGTCTTTTATTCAAAATTATTCTATTTTTGTTGTCATAATTCTTTAAAATGCATATTGACTGTGAAGAAACATATATTTCCTTTATTCCAATGATTTCCTGTTACCAACAGACCTTGTCTTTAGTTAGTTCTATACAATATCCCTACATCATATTTTTCAGTCAGATTTGCAACGTGTGTGTTTATAGAGACAGAATCCACCCAGAACAAGAGTATTTGCAAGAGAAATGGTTTTTTAAAATAGTTTGTACCTGGTCAAAAAGTCAGAAGCCCACATTACAGTTTCAGCGATTGGGATGAGAGATGATACATGGGTTCAGATTCATCCCATATACTTTTAGGAACTTAGCAGGAACTGGAGTGTAATGTTTTCCTTACAGCTTCTGAAAGAAATAAGCTCCCTGAGAGTGTGGTGTGTCCAACATGCAGGAAATGCCTTTCCTCTTTGATAGTATAAGAATTCTGGCTTAACCACTATCCTAAATTTCATGCCTCAGCTACATCTCTAAAGCTACACAGGCTCTGTCTTACGCTCTCCACTCTGTGTGCTGGAGCTACGCTCTGTGGGCCACCGTGCATGGGATCTTGGAAGCAGAATTTGGAAGGGGGCTGGCATCTTTCCAGAGACCAGGGTAAAGTTTCTAAATATCCCTGAAATATCTTGTAGAGATGGGTTCTCTTATTTTTTATTTTTATTTATTTTTTTTTTAAGAAATGCCACTTTAGGTGTTATGGTTCTCAATATGTTGTCCACAGTACCTGGTCTTTCTTTCGCTGTCACTGTAGTAGTTTGTTTCTGGGAGATTATTTAGAGCCCTTGGAGGATTTTCATATGCTTGCTCAGTTATCCTAAAAAAGAGAAACCATGCAATAAGAAAAAAACCAACTTTTAGAAATCATATTCAGTTACACAAATTTCAGTTACACTTACAGCCATAAATGTAGAAACTTGGGCTAGAAACAGTAGGTAAAAGAAATTTATCTTTTTCTTATGGTTGTTAAATTGCTGCTTGTGAAAAATAATGGAATCAGTGACCTATAATTTTAAGTCTTCTAGTTAATGCTGGTAGATATATTCATATCAGAAACTTCATCTAACTTTAATTGAACTCTGGTTACCTTAAAGTGCTTGCTGCGGTTGTCAGCTATGCAGTAATGTCTGAGTAGTTGATAGCACTGTGCATTTTCTTGGCAGTATTCTATAATGTTTTTTATTGGTTTTATTATTTCTTAGTTCCAAATTTATTTATATATATATATATATAAAATACAGTTATGTTTTTATTAGAAATGACCAACTAAACAGATACGAAGAGTCATTTTCAAAAGTAGGATTACAATTCAAGTAAATGAAATGTTGCCTCCTGCAGTTTTCCCTGCCACAAACATGACATGCAACCAAACATAACAATAAATCTTGTCAGACAAATTATAGGATTTGAGGGGTAAGTGCTAATAATGTTTTTGATGGTTTTACAAAGCAGCTCAGACAAAGGCTGCTCTTGTTTGGTTCTGCCAAAAGTTATATTCTGAACCAACTTGATGATTATCAGCCTTGACTCTGGATGTTTGGGCTGCAGCTTGATTTATTTCAGTGAACTTGCCAAGGTCTGAAGCTTTGCTAAATGAACTTGCTCAGTGCTGATCACTGTTTTATATGCACAGCATGCTGCATGAAGCAGCACCCTCTGTTGTGCCCGACTCCTAATCTGTCAGGCCCCCTTTCAGAACTACAAGAGCAACTCATTCACCAGAGATATTCAGTATATGCTCCTCTGGTCAGACTGTCAAGTGGGACTGCTAGAATAAATAGTAAATTTTATATTAAAAATAATAAAACTGCTTATGTATACAGCTAGCTAAGTTCTTCCTTTTCACTTAGATATACAACTAAATGGAGACTCAAAAAGATACCATCAGAATGATACCTAGGAATATAATACTGATTTCACTTTAACTGACCAAAATGGATCTTTCTTTCTGCAAATAATGAAACTTAGTAACAGTGAAACTTTTAATCTGTGAATGCATTTACTTATATCTCTTTGAGATGCTAATATCTGAATTCACAAAACACCTAGATAAGCACAAATATACCTATGAATATCTTGTCACCAGGCATTTTCATTCACTGCAGGAGATTATAGGTTTGAGTCATTCCTTATTACCAAAATACATGCAGCTATACTGTTATATTTGGTTAATCAGGCATATTTTAGAAATAATAGAGATATCATACTCAAGTTATGCAAATTCTGCTTGCTCACTTTAGGAATTCTCATTTTCTGGTATCACACAAACCAGCTACAATTCTTGATATTGACTCTTTAGATTTTAGGAAGAACTGTAAAATTGAGTCTCACTGCTTTGTACTTTGGTCATTAGCAGACTTCAATTCAGTGTGATCACCAAGGGCCTCACCTCTGTGAAAGGGAGGAAGACCTCTAAATTAATTAAATTATTTGATTCAAGCCAAACATATTAAATGGGTTGATTTATTTATGTTGAAGAAGAGAAATACTGTATGCAAAAGAAAAAATTCTGACTACACTATGTATTACAATTGTTTAATATCCTAAGCATTTAGTTAATCATGAGGCAAGAGTCTGTATTTAGTCATATATTAAATATTAATAAAATCATCATAATTATTTCATTATTTATTAAGACATAATAATATTTAAATATTTGAATTTTTATAAATTATTTCTGTTTCCTAGCCTATATTTAATGAGGAATTTAAAAAGTTAAAATTCTATGGTTTAAATCAAATAAAAATAAGAAATTTGACTTTTCTAATGATTTTTACAGAACAGAATAAAATATAAAACTAAGACTATACTGCAGTATTTTCCAGTTTATCTCAAGTGTGACACTATTCCAAACTGCTAAAAAATGCGAAGTTCGCTATAGTATTGTAGGATAATTCAGGTTGGAATTCAGAGATGTCGAGAGGTATCTAGTCCAACCTCCTGCTTGAAGCAGGGGCAGCTCTGAGACCAGACCAGGCTGCTCAGGACTCTTTCTAGTTGGGTTTAGAAAACCTCCAAGGGCAGAGATGGCCTGCTGTCCAAGACAGCTTCTCTAAGCAACCTGCTCCGCTGCTTCACAGTCCTTCTTATATCTGGCCTGGACCTTTCTTGTTTCAATTTATGACTGCTGTGTTGCATTATGTTGCCAGGTGAAGGGCCTGCCTGCATCTCCTGAACTGACTATGGCTCTATCGTTTTAACTTGATAGCATAATTTAATTCAGTATAGGAATCAGCACCATGAGCTATGGAGATAGCTGCCAAACTGTGTTCTTTGGTTTGTCATTATACCCAGCCCAGATTCCTCTCACAAGTGCTGTTATCTAGGGTTGTATACAATCTCTATTTTAATGTAGTAATATATGTCACCCACACAATATATTAATATAATTTTGTTAGTATTTTATAGTAAATTATCTGTAATAAAAAATAATATTATCCATTGAAGAAATTTTTAAATTAAAAAAATGGCAACACTGGTTCTCACATGCAAATGAATAATGATACTAAGGAAAAGATTAATTTCTTATTTATTTATGATAATGATATTCCTCTTCCATATTTAAAAAAGACAATTTTTGCTTTAACAGAACATTTCACATTAATTTAAAGAACTTCAATTTAAAGAACCTTTTTCTTCCACACTGAGTTATTCATATTTACTACCCTGTATTTAATGAAGAATTTTTTAAAGTTAAAATTCTATGCTTTAAATCAAATAAAAATATTATTTCTGGCTCCTGCATTGAGTTTTACAAAACAGAACCTATTAATTCTAATATCCAGCCAACCACCAATATTTTATAAATATATAAAGGAAACATTGTGACATCCTTGCCTCTTATTTTTCTGACCAGCAGTATATATTTCAGTAAAATCCTTAAGGTCTTTTCCTCTGAAACAACAAACAAAAACAGCTGCTAGTATATTGCCCATATGTGAGAAGAGGTAAAGAGTAATAAAAGAAAGAAATATATTTAGGCACACATTTAAAAGGAAAAAAGTAAATTATTAGTTAAGTTTATGTTTAAAATCTGCAAACAGTTATGTTATTGACCATAATGAGAAAATATGTTTACAATTTCCCATTAGCAAATTAAAGTTCTGTACAGTTAAATAAAAAATATCATCTAGAACACCCAAGAAAATAAAAAGGCTTTGTTTAATCATATCAGTGCTGTAGTGTAACATTTTTCTTTGCCAGTGAAGATAGTGAAGAATAAACATGAACTTTCAAAGAACTTAGTATTAAATTACAGGTTCCAAGCAGCCTAATCCTTGTTCACATTATTAATTTGCAAAAAAAATCTATGTTTAAAGTAAGAAACTTCTGCTTCTGAAGATGTCACCTAAAATCATGTCCAAATGCCCACATATTTTTGCTTCTGGAACGACAAGAAATTACCTCTGTGTGTAATCATAGTTAACAATTAAAGCACTGATTATGCCTGTACTTAGAATGAAAATGTAATTGTCCAAAGACTCACAAAGTTTACATATAAGGAAACATTATTTTAATTTCATGAATACAAACTAGTGGCAAGTTTTTCTTCAGGATTTTTATTATTATTGTTATTATTAATATTACCATCATCATCATCATCATTATTAAATGGTTTAGTGAATTAAAGAATTGAATGACCTATGAAAAGCACTCTAGGTAATGTAAAAATCTCTTATTCTGTTTAGGTAGAAGTAGAGAGCAAAAGCAAAAGGCTAAATTTGCTCTGTGATAACTTGGTCACTTCAATCCATAATAGGCATATTAATCTTAAAACTTTGGATGCCTCGTATAATTCAGTAGTGTCTCGAAGTCTTGGAGTCTATCCTAATGAATTCTCTGTGAATTACAATTTGCAAGTTATCTGTAGAATTTTGTTGTAAGGTGTGACAAATATTACATAGCTCTTACTAGCACAGTACCCTGGCAGTTCCTCCTCTTCTGTGTGCTTAAGAGCTGCTTACAAGACCACAAGAAGCTTAACTTGAAACACACTGAACTGATGTACTCTTCAGAAATATAAATTCAAGCTGGTTTTTATGGATCACTGCCCTTGCTGACAGAAATGCTTTGTTACACCCTATTGCAGCAACACTTATCACCCATGAGCTCTACAATATTCGGCTTAATGCCCCTTCTCTAACTATATTAAAATTTTTCTTTATCAAGGAAGCATATCAGGCATGTATGGAAGCTTAATTAATTAATTAATTAATCTGTATTTTTACATTCATCATTCTGTATAAGGAATGCTATTTATTAATCTATAAACATTTTACAGATTTGCAACGTTACCTTTCCTGACATTCTCATAGTTACTAACTACTCACTGCCTTAAAAAAGCAGGGCCTGAGAAGCTTTGAAGACTTACTCCTTGTCACTTGTGAAAGAACTTGGTTTCACTTTGAGTTGGTTATCAAGATTTTGGTTCCTTTGGAAACAGAACAAAACCAGATCAAATCACAATTAGTACAGACAGTGGTCAATTAGCCAAATTAAATACTCACTTAAAAAGAAATTGTAATTATCACATTCTTCATGAAAAACAAAATTAAACTGATAAAAGTCAAAGCATACATCATTTAGTAATTCAAAGATATTCATAGACATAGCCACATGCCCCCCATATGCACATTAGCACACACTTCCTGGAATAAGAAGACCAAATTATGTTTTGGAAACAACAAGTTATACCTAATACTTGTGTTAGAAAGGATAATTCCCACTGAATATGCATCATGGACAACTTCAAAGAGTTCCTGACCTCTCACATGCTGTAACAAAAATCTTTACCAGATAATTCAGTCAGTCAAGTATTCTTGGTATGTGCATGAACAATTTCTTATCTAAAAAGTAATCACGGATTAAGTCTTTTTGGCTAAATCAGTTAAAAAGTCCATTACCAAATAGCTAATTATTCTTATATCCTCCATTCTGTTATGTTCTTAGAGGTATTTAAAATATGACTCTCTAGTCTTCTATAAAGCCTACAGAAGCTCTGCAGTTGCAGCTACCTCAGTTATGCTTTTTATGGGCTATGCAACCCTCACATATACATTGGCTGCAATGTGGCATGTTCACCCAAAACAGAAAGCAGGAGATTTGGGACTCCGGTTTATTCTAGCTGCAGTCATGGGATTCTATGCAGTTTACTCAGCAGGGTTATCAGTAGCCTTTCCACTTACTTCTGCTGACTTTCACAGTGTGAAGCGACAGAAAGGCTGTGACAGTAGCAGAGCTGTGCCCTGCAGGCCAGCACGCTCCTATGTCTGATTTTCAAAGGAATATAAGCATTTGGAGAACCAAATTCCACTACGTTTTTCGTGATTCTTAGCTCAGTAAAACACATACATTAGAAATTTTTACTTACAGCATAGATATAAAATATTATATTCACTTTTTTACAATTTTCAATTTCATATTTTTAATAATTTCTGGGAGTTCTTTCAGAATCAGATAAATTAGTTGAAGACACCTTCCTCTAAAACAAAAAAATCAAATACATTGCAGATAAAATATGTTCCTACCACAAGGCCCAAATATTAGAACTTCTGTTAATCTTTGTAGGAAATATTAAACTATCTTAGTGCACTTAGATGCTAAATAATTGAATTAATGATACTATAAAAATTTACTGTAGAAGACTAAGAGGTTATATTGCTTATATAGTTGTTATAGGTGACATTTTCTGTCAACAGGAAAGGAAGAAATGCACTCAAGATCAGCAGGAAATATTCTGGTTTTGAACCACAATCTTTTCAGGTTTTCACATGTATTTTAACACTTCCCAAGTAAGTTCAGATTCATTTTACCTTCAATTGCTCCATTCACTTTGCACAGAGTTTTCAAACAAACAAAGAGGAGTTACCTAAAATAGTTCAACCTTGACCTACTGCCTATTTGAAAATCATAAAAAAAAATACACACTTCCAATAATTTCAGAATCATTCCTTCAGAAATGTGCTTACTGGCCCATATTAATCTGTGGTGCAACTTGAGAGATAGAGGAGTTAGTTCCCTTCTGTAGACTTTAAATCATCATGACTTTGCAGCCAACAGCATTTTTTTACTTCCGCATACATTATTTTCAGCGCTTTGAGTATCCCAATGCATTGGCTGGCTTGCAAGGAACATTTTATTTGCTGTCCAAAGGGATAGTAACAAAAGTCATAAAAGTCTAGGCTTCATGTGTGCTCCTTGACAACTACCAGTCTGATTTATAGAACACCAACACTGGAAGAGTCCTAATAAATGAATATAAACAGTTGCAGATGCAGATTACAGCACAACAAAGCATGCTGACTGACCTGTTCAGCTACACTTTATGGTTCCTATGGAACAAACTTCTGTAAGATATAACTCTTAGAAAATATCTATTATTACATTATTATATAATAATACAAATATTATTTAAATTATTATATAATAGTATATTGTTATATTATATAAATATTATATTATTATTATATAATAATATAAATATTATTATATTTATATAATTCTTTCCTGTTAGGGTGGTGAGGCACTGGAATGGGTTGCCCAAGGAGGTTGTGAATGCATCCATCCTGGCAGTGTTCAAGACCGGGCTGGACAAGGCCTTGGGTAATATGGTTTACTGTGAGGTGTCCCTGGCCATGGTGGGGGGGTTGGAACTAGATGATCTTAAGGTCCTTTCCAACCCTAACTATTCTATGATTCTATGATTACACTTGTTACACTTCTCAAATTTTCAACCTTATGACACATCTGCTTGATATGACTGCAGCAATTAATTAAAGTTGATATCTTGCAAGTTCATTGCCTTGAGGTGGTTGGCTAATGCAAAGGAGGTCAGTGGATGTACAACTTCAAGCCACTGGTTCAAGCATAGCTCAGGTTATTAGCAACTAAGTTAAAGTTTGAGAGCTGTTATTTACAGAAGGATAAAATGTAAAGCAGGGCAAGCTGCAGGATATAGTGGATAAGTAGGAATTTGATTACGTTCAGGGCATACTTTTACTGTTTCTTTTTATCTCTCCTTGTTAGCTAAGCTACATTTACTTTAGCAATAGTACACAGCAGGCACCAGCGTTGCTATCACCACATATCCCCATCTCACATTTGATTTCTCAAATTAGAAAGGATGTGAAATATGGAGCCTAAAGAGAATTTCAATTTAGGTTTTGCTTGAGAGTTGTTAGCATGCTGAAAAACAGCAATACAATTTATACTTTTCCTAACACTTCTAAAAGGGGTATAAAATATTAAAATGGGGAAGAGACCAACACATATGTTCATACATTGAAGAAGCTCCTTGATTATCAGAATGTCAGATGCAGTGAAAAGCTGTTGTGGAAAAGTCTTTCCAGTCGCAGGTATAACTATCATTTGAAAAAAAAAAAACAAACTATTTCAGTGTCCAAGGCTGGCTGAATTGAATTCCTATTTCTCAAATTTGTCAGCATGCCTTCAAAATATAGATGATGATGGAAAACAGCAGGATAAAACTTCTACACAAAGCAGTTTGGACAAACCTGGGGAAATATCTTTCAAATGTGGTAGGTGATTTGTAAGAGAAGCTGACATTTTTCATAGGTCATTCCAAAGGATGCCACCTCCAAGCACCTTCAGAGACAGTCATTACATCATTGTGTATATTCTGCCTAGGGTGAGTGTTTTTCTAAATGGATGAAAACAAGTAAGGTCAGACAGCCTGCCAGGAGAAGAGTATGTAGTTTGCTTATAAATTCAGGAAGATGAAATGTTTTAATACAGCCCCAGGACATGACTGGAATTTTTCAGGAGAACCTAACTCAGAATAACAAATATATATATTTGTATTCCGTACAAAAATATTGCAACAGCAGTACAGAGGATTTTATATCATATTTTGCAGAAAAGGATCAAGTATTGAAAAAAATAATTAATTAATTATAAAATAAAAGCATTAAGACTTAGATTAAGATCCAAGTGTACTTGTTATCATCACTGAGGTGTGGAAGACAATTCTATTGATTCATTTACTTTTCCTTTTGTTCGCAACTACCTCAAGAAAAAAGTCTATTAAGATATTGTTGCAGAAAAATGCTTAAAATAGCACTATCAATCTGCAAGAAAGGCCCACTCTGGAAGGCAGAAAATCCTATGTGTGCCTGGGTCACTATGGGCCTCATGCTATAAACTTGTGCCTAACTTCATGCTTAACCATGAATTTTGCTGCTGCTGTCTGCTATTTTGCCTCCAGCTGCTTGTGTAAAATAGGATTAGAAATTGGACAATTTATGAAGAGAATCCAGCAGAATAAAGGGCTAGCAAAGAATATAAGTAAAGTAGATTTAAAAAAAGCTGTCAAGGCAGGCTGCATGCAAAATTTATGGCTTTGTTTAACCAGACACTTCTATTCTGCCATATCTTGGAGCCCCTGTGCCTCTCAGACACAGACAAAAAGGGAAATTATTTAGGGCTTCTGTGACAAGCTCTCCAGAAATTATCTACATTCCAAAAGCTTCCTATCTCTGACCCTGCATCAGTATCAGCAAATATTCTTTAATTTACAGAACCATTGTCTTTTGTATTATCAGATTTTATTAATTTTAGGTATTTAATGTCTTCCTTGATTTAATGTACAAAAGACCTGTGAGCATGTTCAGTAAGTAATCTTTAAAGGTATGAAAATGAATGTCTGATGTAATTACAAAGTGTGGGGTTTTTGGTTTTTCTCCTTTTTATGTTCTGTACTAAAAACTTAGAGAAATTGAGTTGTCAACATTTTGCTGTCTTTCACTCTGTGTTTGATTTCTAACTCAGTTCACTTGAGATGAAGATCAGTACTTTTCAGTCCTTCTGCTCTATGAAATATGTTTGTGAATCTCACTTATTTAGATGGATAATAATTCTGTAATTCTGGTTTAACTGGTGAAAAGTCAGATCACTATCAAAAAGGAAAACATAAATGAATCCCATCATGCAGACATTCAAGCACAGCTAGTAGCTTTTGTTTTGTTTTGGTTTTTGTTTTTTTAATGGTTTTTGGTTTTAGTCTTGAAAACATTCAGATAAAGTTTCAGATGGGATAGAAACAGGAACCATGTGAACCATGCCCATCCCTACATAAGAACTTTATTAGTTGTTTGACGAAAGCAATGAAAAGCTTTCTAATGTATTTGCAAATTCTGAAGAGAATGAGGAAAACAATAAAAGTAGTTTTTAAAAATTTTGACCACATTTTTCTCACTGTCTTTAATGCTGAGGCCAAGTTGAAAGTGATCCTGGACATGTGTGGGAAAGAGAGAGAGAAAAGAAATTTTAAACAGACCCCAGCCATGCTCTTGAACTGCCAGTATCAGGCAGCAGAGTATGTGATCACAAGTCCCTAGTCATTCAGTGAATGCTTACTTAAACTGTGAGGTCTTGCTGAGCTCATTTCTAGTTCCAGATGTTTCCAAATTCCTG